ACCATGGTGGTTTTTTTGTTTCACTCTAAGTAAGTAGCTTGTTTTAATCAGCAGTTAATATTAATAAGTACTTCAAAAGACTCCCTTCAAACTATTTAGGATATTATAATGTATAAAGTGAGTCTTGCGAAGAAAAAATATCCATCTTACTATATCTAAAGTAACATATTACTGTATTTTTTTATTTTTTCTGAGCAGGAAAAGACACCCTTCAAACTAGTCAGGATATTATAGAACAAGACTAATAAGGAAGCATTTCCATAAAGATTATATTAAAGGTATGAAATCCAAGTTTAAATTTTCGATTATATTTATAGTAGTTTCTGTTATTTGTTAAACAAAAACGGTTGATATATATTTTTGATTTTTCTCTTTGAGCCTGTTAATTTGTCAAAACCTAAATACTTAAACAAATTAAAACTAAAACATGGCAAAAAATGTAATCTCGGAAGTGACGAGTTATAGGTATATTTTTAAAATGTCAGTTAAATGTATTTGTAACTTTTACTAATGACTTCTCATATATTATCTTTTCATTTCAGTTTTTCTTGGTAAAATCATGGTTTACAAAATTACAAAAACATCGATGTATGTCAAGTCAATGTCATAGTTTCTCACCGCTGAATAACACACCGATTTCACTAATGTATTATTACTTTCAGCAAACATTTATTATACGAGAGTAATAAATTAGATAACCATCAAACACTCCTACATTGACAATCAGTTCAAATAACAGACTGCCTCATGCACCTAAAGGGCTTTTAAGTGTAACTATACATTTTGTACATCTCAACTCTCTCTCTACAAAAAAACAAAAACAAAGTTGGTTATCAATCAAGACATTTGTTTTAAATGGCCTTTCAAAATCACCAAAAGAAATAAATATAATATTAAATTTACTAACATACAAAAACCATATTTTAATCAAGTAATTTGTTTAGCTTACAACTGAGAATTGTTTATTTTATTTATAAAGACATAACCGAAATAAAAAAACAACATACATTTCTTAACATTTTACATTGTACTTATACTTGCACAGTGTCGTTTTAAAAGTTTGTCCAAAGCTTAGAAAATACAATTTTATTTACTACATGTAAAATGAGTAATTAACAAGAAAGCACTTGAAATAAACAAAGACAACAGAACATTAGTTTCTTAAACCATTTGAATCATCACAAATTTGGAGCACTTTCTCGTTGTTGCAATAACTGTTATACACTATCCATAACAAACATAACATTTACTCAATACTAATAAAAAAAATCTAGCAAGCTTGAAACCAAAAAAAAACAAACCAGAATTTTCTCAAACTGTGCTATATCAAAAAAATTTATAGACGTCAACATCGTGTTCAGTAATCTGTCAACCGTAAAAACTGAGAAATTCAAGGTAAATAAATAACATATAAATTATTGATTTGGTTGTTAAACATAAAACTACACAATGGGCTATTGGTGCTCTGTCAACAATGGGTATCAAAAATCCAATTTTTTGCATCATAAACCTGCATAATTAGTACTGATACACCGAGGGGGGCTAAATTATTGGTATGCACGTGTATATTAACAGGGGGGTAATGTTACGGCAATTTCCAAGGTAATGATAATTACAAAAACTACACGTGTCACTTATAAAAAAACATTAATTCACATACCTTGTAAGTTGTTAAACAGAAAAATTACATCAATTACTTTAGCTTCAGCAGAAACTCAGTTATTCCATTATCAAGACTCTTATCTTGGATCTTTCATAAAACATTAAAAAAGATTAATTTCTTAATAGTTCAATACATGAAAATCATGGTAGTTATTTGTTCATACACATCAATTTTCTTTTTAATTACAAACAAAACTTATGCTTTAATAATGGTAAATTCTAATGTCCTCAGTAATTTTAAGAATCAATGGTATCACAATCTAATACTTGATTTGTAGCAATCATGATGTCAGAAAAATACATAGTTTCAAGAAGTCTTAATATAAAATTATAAAAACCCTATAACCCGAGTAGTTTCGAAAGATGGACCTTTCTTCTTCTTCACTTTACCCCTGAAGAAGAAAGCTCCAGTGCTCGGGTTATATGGTTATGATTTGTAGCAACGTTATACCTCACGTTAATTAATTCTCAATCGGGAGAAGTTTTGCTTCTGACCAGCATGCCCCTTGAATTTGGTTCTATCTCTAGAAGGCTAAACTAAAAAACCAATTGAAATGGATGTATAAAACACAGAAGAAAAAATAACTAAAGACCACAAGTGACATATGACTCTGTCATTTCTAGTTTTATAAAAACTTTCATAAGAACAAAAGAAGTGTTTAACCTTTTTTAAAAAAACAGATTAAAGTATCCATCAGTTTTGGTAAAAACAGACCCAGCAGTTATAAGTGAAACAAGTTCATAATTAATAATACTCCCACTGTATTTCCTTTAGCTGTATACCACTCCCATAATAACAATCCACTGAAAACACAGAAAAGTGAGGTGTTAACAAAAACATCAAATGTGAAAAGACAGTTTCCCAGAATGCCTCAGATAAATAATGCGCTGACATCACGTTGGAATATTAAATAGAAGCTAGCTTTTGACTCTCTTCAGGGACTAATTTAAAACAGAATGTACAAATTCACATTTTGAAACGTGAAAGAAGATTGTATCTAATGCTGATACATTTGTAAGCGTTGATGTAATTTCACTTTTCACCAGGTTCCAGTTCAAGATGCCATCAAACGCACCGTAAAACGATTGGCAGAAGAACATCTTTGACCATGACTTTTCTAGAACTACTATGTTTCTGTCTGAACTCTAATTATATTAGATGGAGCGACAATTTGATAAAGTGGAACACCCATGGATTCACCACTGTTGTTAGTTTTATGCCAAATCAACATGGAGGTGTTTAAAAGAAGCAACTTTAGCTCCATCACTAAGGCTTCGCTATGTCCATGACACATTTCTCACCTGGTAATAAAAGAAGCAACTTTAGCTCCATCCCTTTGGCTTTGCTATGTCTGTGACACAGTTCTCACCTGGTAATAAAAGAAGCAACTTTAGCTCCATCACTATGGCTTTGCTATGTCTGTGACACATTTCTCACCTGGTAATAAAAGAAGCAACTTTAGCTCCATCACTATGGCTTTGCTATGTCTGTGACACATTTCTCACCTGGTAATAACAGAAGCAACTTTAGCTCCATCCCTTTGGCTTTGCTATGTCCGTGACACATTTCTCACCTGGTAATAAAAGAAGCAACTTTAGCTCTATCACTATGGCTTCCCTATGTCCATGACACATTTCTCACCTGGTAATAAAAGAAGCAACTTTAGCTCCATCCCTTTGGCTTCCCTATGTCTGTGACACATTTCTCACCTGGTAATAAAAGAAGCAACTTTAGCTCTATCCCTTTGGCTTTGCTATGTCCGTGACAATTTTTTTTTTTTCAGTGATAAGATACACAGTGGGCTGCCTGAGCTCTGTTCATTTAAAAAAAAATGAATTCCAGATTTTAGCATTGTAAGTCTATAAATTACCAATGACTCAATGGAGGACATTTTTTTGTAAAAGAAAAATCAGAGAGACTACTTATATCCAAAAAAAAAAACCCATTTTTTTATACAGAATTTGTGGCTTAGATATAAACCCTTCAAAAAATGTCATTTAAAAATTATCTTAGGTGTTTACTATATGTATCGCTATTAATCAATATTATAATGGATATTATTATCATTATAATTTTCATATCTTTTTTAACATTGTTATACTTCAACTTTATTTTATAAATTTAAATCCATTTCTGCTTCAATAGTTTTTGTCTCAACAGTACTATGTATGCTGTACCAGAAAAGCATGTTTTAGATGCATTTCAGTATTGTTGATTTCATCTTTTAAATGTGAATTTGTATATAGCATTGTTCATTAGCCCGAAGAAGAATCCTGAGAAGAATTGAAAACTAGCTCCTATTATTATCTTCAACATGGTGTGTACCAGTTTTTGACAGTGTATCAACAAAACATATTGTGATAAAATTCTGTCAAACACAATTAATAATCATTATAAAAAATATCTTGCTTTCATGTAGATCTGTTACTCACAATTTAACATATAAATTGCTTGATATGTAACAGTAAAAAAAGGAAAAGACTGAGTACCAGTTGCTTTCCCTCTAGTCAACAGTTCAAAATTAGTGACAGTAGCTGAAGGCTTTAATAGATTTTCCATAACAAAGATGGGGTGAGTAAATTTGGTTGCAAAATTTGGATTATTTGGACAGTTGAAACAATCTAAAACAGTAATAATCAGAAAACCTAATTTAGTTTACTCGATTATTTTTGTAACAATCAATTTAATTGTAATTTCAATTAATTGATTGTTGGAATAATTGAAATGAGTAATAATTGGAAACACTAATTTCAATTAATTGATTAGTTTATTGTTTGTTTGCATGTAATTAAGCACAAAGCTACACAATGGGCTATCTGTGCTCTGCCCACCACGGGTATCGAAACCCAGTTTCTAGCGTTGTAAGTTCACAGACATATCGCTGTACCACTAGGGTCTTGATTAGTTTCTGTGACACTAAATGTAGTTGCTGCTCATAAGTAGTCGATCATATCGATTAAATTGCCCAGCTCTTGTAGTACTTTTTGGTATTAAGGAAAAAAAGAGTAAATCTAGTACGACCCGGAACTGTACAACAGTTTTGTTCAGTTGCAAAGTTAAATGATGTTTGATGACACTCAACGAAATTTCAATTCTCTGTGTTATCTAGTTGGAAAAAAAAATCCCTTGTTAAGTTAGAGATAAATTCAACCACTTCCAAACACATCAGTAGGGTTACAAAACCTGATTCCATTAATAGAAAAAAAAAAGGAAAAATAAACTGATTCTCAAAACACCTTAAATATTTTTGTATGTAGGTATTTCATATGTTTCTGTGGCAACTTTATTAATTACTATTAGAAAATAACATCTGGGAATTACTACTCACACATTTTCATAGCAGAGCAATAGATGTTTTAAACTACAGTCTTTATGTGATACATATACAAAGAAAAGAAATCCAAGACTGATTACAGAGTAGCTAAGAAAAATAGACAATAAGTAAATGTTTTTCCATTTCCGAATGGTTTGATAAAGTTCAATGTTAACACAAGTAGGATAAAACAACAGTGAATGGTTTGATAAAGTTCAATATTAACACAAGTAGGATAAAACAACAGTGAATGGTTTGATAAAGTTCAATATTAACACAAGTAAGATAAAACAAAAGTCTATGTCTATCACTCTTTTATACTAATATTCTTATAAACCTTTAGTCTAACTTAGAACATTTCAACCACACACAAAAATTATATTTTTAAGATTTAGTAAGATTTCTTGACTTCTTGAACACGTTATTCATCATTACTCCAACAGAAGTTTCCATTTTCTTATTTTAAAGCCTCAGCTTATTACTTTATGACTGTAGATTAAACAAAATACATAAAGACCTAAACATCACATGATAACTTTAGCTAGCGTAACAATCCAACAGAGAATAAAAACTGTAAATATAGACCACAAATGGTACAAGAATACCATGTTTTGTCCTTGTATTGCTAAAAAACGTACATTATATACAAACTAAAACGACTGCTACTTTTGTACAGTCGCCTGAGAGAGCTGTACACTTGGTAGTATTAAAAGGTTTCTAAATCATGATGGAGGGTAGTCAATTGTGGTCCAAGTCTTCCTCTCATTTAATCCTATAATATTATATACAATGCACGAAGTATGATAGTGATTATGACTCTGGGATCGAATTTCCCTTTGAACTCCTGTTTCAACTTGATAACTATATTTTCCAACTATTTTCGTTTTATTTCATTACCACAATCTCTATTACCAGTTTTTTTTTAAATTCATTGGATGAGACTTGTTTTGTCACTAATAAAACATGCATCTCAACATTAATGTGATTAAGTGTTCATTAAGTCTTAACTGCACTTTTGTGTTTGTTTCTGTCCACTGCTCATCCCCATCATTTGTAAGAACTAAAGGTTCAGATTTGTAAGTTCTTGTCAGAGGACCATCTTAAATCAGGTGAAACTTTTTAACTTAATTTTCCTTTCATCTTCACTTATCAGCATCATTAAATGTTTTCTTCCATGGGAAAATCAAAATAAAACTTGTCTTGATGTATCAGAGGAGATCCAGCCTACCTCCTGTTTCGTAATTACAAATAACACATGGAAACTTTCATTGCCTTTAATATACTAAATTTGACCGGGATGGATAGTCATTTTGTGCACAAAGATCCACGACAAAGCCTTGCTCTTCTCTTCTGTGTTTTCAGCCTACAAGGAAAGATAACTGTAAACATAAGATGACAAGAAATTTACTAAAATACGTTTTCCTATGAAACTATTCAGACTTGAAGACGCACAGATATGGAATCTATGTCAAACATTATCACGACCCTTGTGCAATTATTGAAAATTAACACGTATTAGTGTGCTTATTAACAGATGTAACAACAGGCATATAAATAAGGCTTAGTTGAAAATACCAGGAAGAACTGTGCTACTGCATCTTAAACATGAAAAAAAAAGAAGAAATTACTTCAACATAGAATAAAAGCAGCAACATCCCCTCAACAAATCATCTGCTTCTAAACTTTACAACACTTTACAACAGACCAAAGACTAGATGTTTACATTACTGTCTACCATGGATTATCAGTGATTGGATATTTAACAATGTTGTCTACCAAGGATCATCAGTGATTGGATATTTAACAATGTTGTCTACCAAGGACCACCAATAAATAGATGTTTTACTATTTTCTACCATGCAATATCATATGGTTGGATATTTAACAATGTTGTCTACCAAGGATCATCAGTGATTGGATATTTAACAATGTTGTCTACCAAGGATCATCAGTGATTGGATATTTAACAATGTTGTCTACCAAGGATCATCAGTGATTGGATATTTAACAATGTTGTCTACCAAGGATCATCAGTGATTGGATATTTAACAATGTTGTCTACCAAGGATCATCAGTGATTGGATATTTAACAATGTTGTCTACCAAGGATCATCAGTGATTGGATATTTAACAATGTTGTCTACAATGGACCATTTCTGATTACATATTTAACAAAACTTTACCAAGGACCATCAATGAACGGATATTTCACAGTGTTGTCTGTCATGGACCATCAATGAACGGATATTTCACAGTGTTGTCTATCATATACCATCACTGACTGAAGGAGGTTCTCTACCAAGAATCTACAGCACTATTACCTATCTTAGATCATCAAATTCGTGGTTATATACAACTTTTTTCCCCCAAATCATAGACAACCAGGTGATACTTAAGTTTTTGTTTTCAATTTACAAAATCTTGAAAATATAATTAAAAAATAAAAACACTTTTCAAAGCATTTATTAGATGACATAAAATTGCTTACACTTAATGTCAGATTTCTGATTTTATGTATTCCCGATACGAAAGGTCCCTGAATACAGTAGGTAAATTTTGACTGCTCTGTACCCATAATTTCAAACACTATTGTATACCATTCTTACTTTTGTTTTAAGAACTGGATTGACGAGGACTACCACATGTGGTGTAGATGTAAGTTTCGACTTAAAACTGATCGAACATCACTGGTAAACCTCAAAGCATCAAGGACAGGTAATAGGTTCAGCAGAGCTATATCTGTAGGGTCAGAAAACCAGGACCTTATTGGGATGGCGTTATCTGAAAAAAATTTGCAATACACAATTTGTGATTTTTTCCCCCTTACAACACTAGACAACTATATGTAGAAGATAACAAATGGATACCTCCACAATTTGTCAAGTAATACCAATGTACGTAATTGGTTACCATTTATTTTTATAAACTATTTCACATCAGTTTGAAAAAAACCCAAAAACTTTTAGTTAAAAAAGTTTTATATATACATATCAAGAATAACAGAAGAACTGCCAACAATTTTACATCAAAATTTGTATACGTCATCAGAGTTTTTGGTTCTTAACTCAAAAACACCTAACAGTGTTAGGCCTCGTTAGAGATATTAACAAGTACCAAAGCTTAACTGACATGCATAAAGCTTCATGTTCCATGCCTACCACATTTGGTCAATTTGGTTATTACTATTTAAGAAACTTAATGTCATATATTAATCTAGCCTATTATAAATAACTGATATACATATTGAATTATATCAATTTAGTAAGTAAGATACTATAAATTACAGAAACATTGTACTTTCTAAATAAATATAAAATTTACTTGGAAGTACATGGTGATCAAAATTAAATTTAGTTAATTTCTTTAGTAGAATAAAGGAATAAACATGCACTACAATAAGCCAGTCAAAAACAGAATTTCTATGATAATATATTACAGCCATATTATAAAATTTGGAATTGTTAAAATTATGTTTTTTTGGAGTTGAATCAACTATGACCTGCATGTTTAAACTGCAAGGTCAAGGATCATGTTACATTTACCACAAAATATTTCTTTGCCCAAAATATGAAACTCAATATTTTTTTAATCTACATAACGTTTTAGTATCATGAATATGAAGTGAAAGGTTTGGGATATTTTGAGTATTAATCAAAATTATGTAGTATATAAAACCAAAATTAGCAGGGAAAACGTAGAAGCTCAAATAATTCTGAAACCTTGAGCTACTAGAACTTATCACACTGTACCAACATAATTTGTGACAGATAATGGAAAGATTTTGGTCGAAATAAAATGTTAAAACTCTAAACTGAGAAAAAGTGTCTTTTCTTATACTAGCTACCTTGGTGTCACGTTTCTGTGACCATTTACAATGAAGCTTATATTTGGCAGTTTCCAACCTTTGAAATGAAAGAAAAAGTTTACATAATTGTGTCTAGAAAAAATCAGGTTTTTTAGAACTGAAAAGAGAATACCTGGATAAGCCCTGTATGCTCCAGGAGAATTATCTAAAATAAAAATACTGGCTAAATCTTCAGTTATGGCTAACAACTCTTTGGTGTAGCTACCATATTCCACAGTACAATGCTGCAAGTAAAAATATATAGAACAGAAATAACCATGACTAACTGATTTTAACACTCAATAGTTTAAAACCCGACAGCCATTAAGATAGGTATTGAAATTATAAGTTGTATCATTGTATGCACATAAAACAAATGCAGTTAAATTACTTATACCAAAAGTGGCATATATTATACAACAAAAAAGTTATGTTTAATAAGTGAATTGCAAATTACATATTAATTTTTTTATCTTTATAAATATCTATCAGATTTCATTCAGGTTTTACAGAAATCTCTTTTAAATTTTATAGATAAACAGGAAAATTTTACAGTAAGATACAGTGTCAATAACGAATTAAAAAAAACATATCTTTTTATAAGCAAAATTCACGCAAAAGAAAAAATATGTAAATATAGATGTATGTGTAAATTGAAAAACTAAGAAGAAGAGAAATAAATGACTATTTGATTTTAAAACTCAATAACGTAAAATAGCTAAGACATTTAAATGAAACAAAACTTAATTATTATAAAATGCCATTACTTCCCTCAAATAAATATTCCACAAGTAATTTTTGAGCTCAACTGTATTTTATGCATGTGTTTAAAAGTCAAACTGTTTGAATAAGTAAATAAAAAAAACCAGTATCAACTTCATGAATATATTTTTTGTTTTTTTATAAAAGAGTTAGCACAAAGGATCACATATAAAGAAGAATAGTCAACTATTCGAAAGCGCTCGAGTCTTGGGTCTTATTTTAAGTCTAACCTCATGAATAGAAACTCTTCCATTACAGTTTTCTAAATCTACCACAATAAATATTTCAGTACAGTTAATAATTTTCAATTATATTCATTATGTTAATTCTGAAAAGAATACTGCATCAACTAACTGGGATAAATAATCTGATTATTTCTAAAAATAAACAGGAATTTTTTTATACTTGTCTATAGTATCTTTTTCTTAAAATTCCTCTGTTGTTATCTAGCTTGTCTGCTACTGCTGCTCCATAGATTTCCATGCTGGCCGTGAAAACTACCAGCTCATACCACTGGCTGACCTAGAAAACTCAAATAGTTCATACGATATTCCACTTGAGAGTTAAAAAAAAAACATCATAGTAAAACAAATATAATCTAAAAAAAAAACTCTTTTTCTACAAAACAAAAAGCTAGAAACTTTACCTTGCAAACAAACAACAGTAAAACCCTGTTAGTATAGAGCAAAGCCACGTTGGGCTATCTGCTATGTCCACCACGGGAAATGGAATTAAACCTTGCATCTTAGCACTGTAAGCCCATAAAAAAAACAACAACAACAACATATAAATTATTTGTATTTATAAATCACTGAAATTGTTCACTGGTTATCTGAATGATATTCGCACACCAAAAACTTCTAGAGTTTTTTTTTATTTCTTAGTGTAGCCTTAACTCTAAGAGACCTGGGTGCATCTATTTGAAACATCTGTTCTATGGTTTAATTTACTGTGAAAACAAACTACTCGATGAAACAGCTTGAAACTGCAGAAGAACTTTCTATGGATAACGTTGCTAAAAATATATTTTTCATATCTAATATTTGTATGAATTTGCATTTTTGAAACTTCAAATTGCTTTCATTGTGATATATTTTTTTTAGAACCAATTAAAAATGCTTACCTTTGTTGTAGATTTTTAATTACTGACTGTTATGTTTTCCTACATTCTTTTAAAATTTTCCTATACTTTTTATTTTATAAACTGTAAATTTTATCTTTCATTTGATTCCAAAAACACTGCACACATTTTTACTGTGCTTACGATAAAAATAACTTTTTAACATTCCAAAATTATAATCAAGCCAACTTTTTCCAATGTTCATCAGAAGGTTTCATGTAATATCTATATACATATAATAGTACTGTCTGTTGTATGTCCATGTAACTACTTCACAGGGTGTGGATGGATCTTCAACAAAACTGGTATGGAGGTTCATTAGGTCCATACAAATTTTTAGTTTTGCATTTTGTGGTTTTTATGGGAGTTTTTTACAACTATTTCACCCCCTGTAGATGGATCTTCACCAAGTTTGGCAGGAAGGTTCATTGGGTCCATGAAGAGATACATACAAATTTTCAGTTTTGCATTTTGCAGTTTTTTATGGGCATTTTTTACAGTTACATATAAGGGAAGCAACTTTTAATGTCCTAAGATAATTTTTCGTTCATCATGAATTTAGATAACTTCCATCCAAGGTGTACCAGCTAGTATGTAATAAGTTACTAACATGATATTGTTAGTTACAAAGTAAATAACTGCTTGAATGGGCAAAGGAAATTACCAAGAAGAAATACAGGTAAGTGTATATATATATATATTTCTTCTCGGCAATTTCCTTTACCCATTCAAGCAGTTATTTACTTTGTAACTAACAATATCATGTTGCTGCACACATGGTTACACCTCAAAATGACTACCACCATAAGTATGGTAAATGTTACAGTGATATAACATGCTTCCACTTTTAAAACTTGACATAGAAGATAACACACATTCCTTACTACGGCACGGATGCCATGTTGCTACTGGCACCGACCTGCCACATGGTGACAAGAAATTTAATACTGTTAGTTAAACCTAAACAAATGTTTTGGCACCTTTGAACTTGTGATTCTTGGTGTTAAAGATCTTTTATTTCTGGACAAATAATTTTCAATTGCCCTATATTATAAAATATCTGATTAAAAAAAAAAGAATCATTACTTACAATATCAAGAAAATAATCAACATGTGGTCTCTTGTGTACAAAGAACCGGACAGGATGTCTATCAATTGTGACCTTGAAGAAAAAAAAAAAGAACTAAATTCAAAACTACGAGGTTTTCTCCAAACTTTTACTTTTAGAGGAATAAATTATAGCCTATTTAATACACTTAAGGGGGCCTTAAATTTTTATACTTTTTAATTGTTTAAATATTTATATACATATTTTCTATTTGAAGATAAATAAATTCAAATACTTAAACCTTAACAAAAATATAAAGTATTTGTGAATCAAATTCAAACACCAATCAACTCGAAAAAAATACAATATTTTTCAAGACATATTTCACAAAATTGACTTTTAGACAATTCTGCATAAGATTTTGGTCCCAAAGTGAATGGGAGAGAGGGGTGGGGGCTTGTATTTCTTTATCCAAATCATAGATGAAACTCTGTTACTCTTCAAATAGAAATTATCAATGCAAAGTAGCATAAGTATCAAATGTTGAATATTCCAATTCACCATCAAGGTCCATACCTATATGCTAAGTTTTTAAAAAAAATCAAAATAAACACAGTAATTTTCAAAAATAGTTTACGTTTCAGTACTGGATAAAAAAAATTACACAGAAGGTCATTCTTTTCTTTAGAAGTTGCAGGCTTACTGCCTGAAGATACAATTTTATGATATGGAAAAACTTGAACATGAATCCAATTAAGCAGTGTTAGTATATAACTTTTCTAATATGGACAGCTGTGCAATAGTTTCCCCACAGGTGTGGTAGAAGGAGTTTAAGAAGAAACTATTAGTTCTTCAAGAAATGAATGACACCAGAACATATATATATATATCAAAACAAAACATTTACTAAATGAAATAGTCTCCATTCTTATCGATGATGCTTATCCATCTTACAATCAGATTGTTAATGCCCTGATTAAAGAAATCACTTGGCTTTAAAGCAAAAAACATGTCAATGTCCTCTTTAACACTTACCACATTTGTATACGTTTTTCCATTAAGATGGTGTTGCAGCAAATGAAAAAGATGGTAATCTGATGGTGCAATATCTGGAGAGTATGGAGGGTGGGGGAGAACTTCCCAACCCAACTCCATAATCTTGTGTTGCGTCAAACGTGCCACATGTGGATGTGCATTGTCGTGGAGAAGACGAACACCTTTCCGATTGATGAGTGAAGGGCATTTCTGATGAAAAGCTTGATTTAAATGTTTCAGTTGCTGATTATAGATCTCTGCATTCACAGTTCACACTGGATTGAGGAGATTG